GAATTCAGATCAGGAATATGTTTGTTTTGTTTTATTTCGAAAGTATTTGATGTATGAGTGGACAGAAGTTGTGTTGTTTCAATTGCAATCTTTTTATGAGCAATGATATTTCCAGGTTCGGCGGGTACACCACACTCGATGCGAGAGCCGTCACAGATTTTATCTCCGGGCGGTATGCGTATGCAAATGCAACAGCAGCAAATGGGAATGTGCATGCCAGGTGCGCTTATTCGCCGTGTTCTCTTCAATTTGAACCCATTCCTTTCCCCCCGTGCCAATTTAATTCCGTTTGAAACGCTGCAGAAAAAATTTGTTTTGCGAATTGTTGCACTATTTTCTTGAAGATTCACGAAAACTCTTGTCCTCGAGTTTTTTTTTTGAACAGAATGCAACATTTTTATTGATTTATTCGTTTTTGATTCAGTTTTCACTGCGTAAAATATTGCCCATTTATTCAGTCAGTCAATCGCCCATCATTGAACGACTTAAATAATATCTTCAGTTTCCCTCTACCACGAATTTAGATTGAAAGGTTCCGTGTTACTTCCGAAATTTCAATCGAATTTATAGGCATTGCTTAATCTCATTCATTTGTTCGTTGTTTATGTGGACGATCTCGAAACTATAATAGCTTCAATTCAAAATCAAGAAAAGATAGATTCTGTATTATTGAGATTTTTTGGTATTTTACAATTAAATGCACACACTGAAATATTTCTCTCACCTAAAAATATTCGTGCAAATGTCTAAGCGGAAGATTTTTGCAACAGTTCTTGCGATCTTGCAGGCCGTTCTCCATTGGGCAGTCCAGGCAGTATGCATCCACCGCCGTCACCGTATTTGGCCCGACCTCCGTCAAATACATCACCATCAGCAGGCGCACCCCCCTACATGCAACCGCAACCTCCTCAAGGAGCAGCTATGCACTATGGTGGAAATCCGATGCAATCGATGCAACAACAAACGTCGTCAGGTTTGTTCTTTCGAACTGTTTGTTGTATCAAGATTATTCATCCACTTATCTTTTTACTTGTTTCCGTTCAACTGATAGTTTTTACGCGATATTTTCTGAGGATATAAATTCAAATTGTTCTCTCCTCTATCAAGCGATTTTATTTATTTATTCATTTTTTAAATTACATTTGAAGAAAAGGTAGATATGCATAAT